CAACGAGGTAATTCAGTGGTGATTTGAGGAATTTTTCTATTTGAGGGTGTGATGAAGAAGATAACGACTTGCCCGTAGGATGAGTTATAGATGTGCCTATTTCATGTATTTTATCAAACATTCTACCCCCAATTCTTAAGGAACAAAACAGAAAATGTTAGGGTTACGACCTAAAACTCCTTGTTAAAAAATCTTAGTGAGGTCAATTGAATCATCACCAATGAATAGACCAGTCAATGGTGATGTTTCTTGATGAGTCCCCAAAAGGGAACCATATATAAAATGATAGACTTTTGAGTATAATGTATCATGAGGCCTCCTTGATTGGAAATCTTGATTAATTCCATATCATATAGGACGTAATGTTTATACAAGAAGAAGAATTGGGAAAGGAAGAAAATCGAACACAATACTTTGGGTGTATGAATAATAGCTTAACCACTAAATCCTTAGAATGTAACGATCCTTATTGACCGGGGTATTGTTAATTATGCTAAATCTAAATCATTAGAGAGCGGCATGATTGGAATAAAACCAAGTGGTCTTCTCATGATCGAGAGTCGAATTTTACCCACTACATTAATTTTAGCTGGTATAATTATAAATTGTGATGGCGTGTAGATGCAAAAATTATGAAAGAAAAAGAAGGTTAATAATATGGGTTAACAGGTTTTCAAGGCTGAACAAGATACATTCGGAAGCCACAATAGAACGATAACGACGGAGGAGAGGATATGTAAGCAGGACAATTTTGACATGTGTGTGAGGACCGAGGGGGGAGGGTGGGGGACAAAATGCCAGCACCAGAATTATGATGGAGGAAGGTAACCGCCAACTGTATATGTAAGGCAGTCAGAGTACCTTACTGTATATATAATATACATACATATATATATATATATATATATATATATATATATATATATATATATATATATATATATATATATATATATATATATATATATATATATATATATATATATATATATATATATATATATATATATATATATATATATATATATATATATATATATATATATATATATATATATATATATATATATATATATATATATATATATATATATATATATATATATATATATATATATATATATATATATATATATATATATATATATATATATATATATATATATATATATATATATATATATATATATATATATATATATATATATATATATATATATATATATATATATATATATATATATATATATATATATATATATATATATATATATATATATATATATATATATATATATATATATATATATATATATATATATATATATATATATATATATATATATATATATATATATATATATATATATATATATATATATATATATATATGGTGCATTTCTGGTTTCGTTGGGTCGATCTGTAGCTAGAGAGAGAGAGAGAGAGAGAGAGAGAGAGAGAGAGAGGTATATGTATCACTGTAATTAGAAAAAGTCCAAAAGACGCATACACAGTAATAGTAAATAGTGCAATAAGAAGAGAGCAGCAGCAGCAGCAGCAGCAACAACTAGCTATATCTAAAAGCATCACTGCATATATAAGATAAGAGGTGCACTTATATATGAATAAATGAAAAGAAGAGAAGCAGAGAGGTCCCCAACTCCAATAGCCTTCTCATAGCCTTTAGCTTTAAAGAGAGAGAAAAATGAGAGAGAGAGAGAGAGAGAGAGAGAGAGAGAGAGAGAGAGAGAGAGAGAGAGAGAGAGAGAGAGAGAGAGAGAGAGAGAGAGAGAGAGAGAGAGAGAGAGAGAGAGAGAGAGAGAGAGAGGCATATGTAATGTTGCTGCATGCATGTGGTCCTAAAAACCCTAGGCCTTCTGAAAGGCCCTCAACCTAGCTAAAGCAGGAAAGCTTTAGCTATATATATGAGTAGATGATGTAGTGTACAGTAGAGATAGAAAAGTTATATGCATAACCAGTTGTACCCTAATTAATAATTATCACTGTAATTAGAAAAAGTCCAAAAGACGCATACACAGTAATAGTAAATAGTGCAATAAGAAGAGAGCAGCAGCAGCAGCAGCAGCAACAACTAGCTATATCTAAAAGCATCACTGCATATATAAGATAAGAGGTGCACTTATATATGAATAAATGAAAAGAAGAGAAGCAGAGAGGTCCCCAACTCCAATAGCCTTCTCATAGCCTTTAGCTTTAAAGAGAGAGAAAAATGAGAGAGAGAGAAAATGAGATGAGAGAGAGAGAGAGATGACCAACCATCCCTACCCTCTTCTCTTCTCTCTGGGCGGGCTAGCTTTGATGTAAACTTGTGACACTTCCTCAGAAATTCTCGGTAAAAGTTAATTACCACCACCTGTTTCTGTGTAAACAAAATAACTTTTACATATATAAAATTATCGGATATTTTGAAAGAAAAATTCTTGTGCTGCGATCTACTATGCACATGCTATAGGTTAGCTAGCTCTATGGCTACTCCTTCATCCATAACTTCCATAAATATATACATGCTTCTACTTGTACTTTGCGTTTACTTTTATTTTTTATTTTTGAACAAACGAGAATATTAGCATATGAATAAAATTATTTATCTCTATTCTAAGAATATATAATATTTTTTTTAGTAAATCTCGAAGATACGAGAGAAACTTTATTGATCATCAATAGAAATATGATAAGACTTAAGCGTTCTGATCAACCCTGAATATTAGATTGGTTTTCTTTCTTTCCAAATTCATCACACCAGAAATGGGATTTTTATGTATCACATTTAAAGTATTGAACCGACAACATTCATATATAATATTGTCTAATAGAAATTACAAAGAAGTCGATTCTAACTTTGCATCTTCATAACACATGTCAAACTTCTCCTTTACTTCAAATCAGGGAACACGCTCGAACTTTATAGCATACAAATTAAGATGGGTATGACTAAATTAATTTCAACGGTCTAAGAAGTAAGAAGTGGGGCTGGTGATTATAAATGTGAGTTGGAAGGTGAAGGAAGAAATTTGAAAAATCGAGTTCAAGGTCAACAAAGTATATATATATATGTGGTACCCCCAAAGTTTTGTCCAAGCCATAATGTCGAAGATAAAACTGGACCACAAAAATCAAATATGGGCACTTACCTACATATAGTTCCCGATGTAAATTGGGTATATGGTTATACAGAAATTCTACTATGCGGATATCCAGACATTATTATCGTGCAGACGTCGTGTATTTTATACTACCCCTCCCTACTTTCATGCATGTTTATAATAGCATCTGCCCGATAATAACGTATGAACATCCGAATAAGAGAATAAATGTATGGTTATATATGTATTTGTAGATTTAATTAGTTCCCTATCTAATTGTGCTCTTATTGCTATTAATTAGTAGATGACTTTTAATTTGAAAATTAAAAAGAAAATACTAGCTAAGCTAGCTAGCTAGGAATTGCTTTATATCACAAAAATATATATATGTGTATATGTTTTTGTCTTGGAAAAGTTGGACCATATGTCACAAATATTCAAGCGATATTGTACCTGCTTCTAAACCAACAGATTGCTAGCTATGAGTCTAATTTGACTTAAGCAGCCATTAAGTAAATTTTATTAAGAGCGTCTAAATTGGGTATGACGCGCTTTTTTTACTTACCTTCATATAGTTCCCGATGTAAATTGGGTATATGGTTATACAGAAATTCTACTATGCGGATATCCAGACATTATTATAGTGCAGACGTCGTGTATTTTATACTACCCCTCCCTACTTTCATGCATGTTTATAATAGCATCTGCCCGATAATAACGTATGGACATCCGAATAAAAGAATAAATGTATGGTTATATATGTATTTGTAGATTTAATTAGTTCCCTATCTAATTGTGCTCTTATTGCTATTAATTAGTAGATGACTTTTAATTTGAAAATTAAAAAGAAAATACTAGCTAAGCTAGCTAGCTAGGAATTGCTTTATATCACAAAAATATATATATGTGTATATGTTTTTGTCTTGGAAAAGTTGGACCATATGTCACAAATATTCAAGCGATATTGTACCTGCTTCTAAACCAACAGATTGCTAGCTATGAGTCTAATTTGACTTAAGCAGCCATTAAGTAAATTTTATTAAGAGCGTCTAAATTGGGTATGACGCGCTTTTTTTCTTCTTTCCGAATACGGCCGATGATAACAGTAATAGTTATTTAATAGTTTAGTTAGTATTGTAGTCTAAACTACAATAATGAAAGGAGTTTCTCACATACACACATACTATCAAGCTATCATGGGAATTCAAACTTGATATCACTAGTTTGCAAGCAATGCCCTTTTCCACTGGTCTACCATTTTTTTATAAAGATGACCTTTCCTATTAAGAGGGGTGATAATATACTAAACTTACACACACTACACGAATACTAGGACTCGAACCTATAACTTTTCATGAGAGAGCCATTGCTCCAAACCACTACACTAGTGAGTCCTTTGAAAGAGTAAAATTATGTGAAGTATATTTACTGATCGATCACATTCCAGTTATGTTTCATAAATGTGAACAAACACGTCATGAAGCATTTAGTACGCAATTAGGAGACTATCCCTATCCGACCACATGGTGTAAGTTTTGGAGGCGCATGCAATGCAAGTGTGGTGTGGCTGATCATCCCCTGGGGGCTTGGCTAGCTAATGAAGTTTTTTTCCCACCGGGTGGCAGGACCAGCACACAATCAATGACACCAAAAGTCAAAAACCCAAACCTAACTTTCTAGCTAAATATACACAAACGTGTCCTCTCTATTTGTACAAGTGCCCTGTAGCAACAGTAGAAATACCACTAATAATTAATAGCTCTTTATAATTATTAATATTTGCCAAGTTCATCACAGTAATTAAATTGAGCTCTTCTCTGGTTCTGGGTCTTTTTGCTTGCAGCATAGAAGATACAACATATATATACACACACATATATATATATATAGAGAGAGAGAGAGAGAGAGTTTGCACCCAAAAAATTATTGAACAAAAGGACAAGCTCACATGACCCAAAACCTCATCCTTTCATGGGCCCCTACGTATAAAATTTCTTCTTCTTCTCTCTCTCTCTCTCTCTTCTCTCATTCCAGTAGTCTTTCTTCTGAAGAAGAAAAATGGTAGACGGAATTTGATGTTTGCTTTCTCTCCCGCTCTCTCTCTTGTAACTGCTAAATACTTGTAAGGAAGCTTCAAGGAAGGTAATTAGCTACTCAATTAGTGTTTGGCCAATACATCCATCTCTCTCTCTCTCTCTCTCTCTCTCTCTCTCTCTTCTCTTTCTACATGCTACAGCTTTAGCTATCTTGGTCAACATAAATACCAGGAAGTAGAACCTGACCTTGTTAAGCCGTCCATGGCTAATTTTGTCACGTTTAGGGTTTGAGTTTTCTGTCCTGGTCAAGGAAGGCACCGACCCTTTTATATAGTCTGCTGCTCAGACTGAGACCTCTCTCTCCTCCCTTTTGGGTCTTTAGGGCCTCAGCTAGAGATCTGAGAAGTACTTAAAAGATAACAATTTTCAAAAGGGTATTTGCAGGTGAAGAAAAATGCTTGCAATAATGATTTTTTTTTTGGTTGTATATATTTTCTCATTGATAATTTGATTAGTAATTGGTTTTGTTTGTTTAGTAAACAGGCAGTAGGGTTTGGATTGAGATAAGATCATGATCCACTGTGAATTTATCTGAGAGAGGCTGATCATCAAATTGGAGAGGTTCAAGTCCATCTCATTCAAATTAATTTCAACTCATCATATCATCAGCAATCATGGAGTTTGTGCAACGAGATCAAAAAGGGTATTCAGATAAGGAAGATCAAGATCAAGAAGATCAAGAGGAAGAGGATATAATTTCCAGTAAGTTCTCTTCTTCATCTCATAATTATAATAACAGCAATTATGGGTCATCACCAAAGTACAAAGCCACTTTTGTTCCTCCTCCTCCTCCTCCTCTTCCTCATCATCATCAGTACCAGCAGCGAAAGCCATGGGCTGTTCATAATCATGGGTCTCCAGAAGCCATCAACTTCATGGACCTATCACTAAACCATGAGCAAGCAACAGCTGATGGAGCCAATAACAACAACAATTGGCCTCCAAACTCTGAAAGAGAGCACATGTTTGACAAAGTTGTCACGCCAAGTGATGTGGGAAAACTCAACCGGCTAGTCATTCCTAAGCAACATGCCGAGAGATACTTCCCGCTTGACTCTACAGCCAACGACAAGGGCCTCCTCTTGAACTTCCAAGACCGGACCGGGAAGCCGTGGCGGTTTAGGTACTCCTACTGGAACAGCAGCCAGAGCTATGTGATGACCAAAGGGTGGAGCCGTTTTGTGAAGGAAAAGAAGCTGGATGCCGGTGACGTTGTGTCGTTTGAGCGCGGGGTTGGGGACTCAGGTAAGGACCACTTGTACATTGACTGGAGGCGCCGCCCTCCCCCTCCTCCTCCTCCGCCACATCATCAGCACCATGGACAGTTTGGTAATTGCAATGACAGATGTGGTGGAGGCGGAGGCAGGCTATACTCCCTGCTTCAGCGGCCGCCTCCATCCATGATGTCCATGCCTCTTAGACACCATGACCATTTTCATCCAAGCAACAATGTTCATCATCCGTACCATCATCATCACCACCAGATCATGAACCATCAATATTTGCAGCATCAGATTCATCATCAATTGCAAGTGGAGAGGGATCAAGTGGTTCATCATCATCATCAGTATCCAATGGTGATTGATTCTGTGCCGTTTGTTCAACATGGGAAGATGAGTTCCAGTGGAGCTAGCGCTGGTGCCTCTACCGGTAAGCGGCTTAGGCTATTCGGTGTGAACATGGAGTGTTCTCCAAACGTTGAAGAAGATCGAACAGATGAACATCAATACCAGATATTGCCTTCAACAGCAATACCATATAATCATCTTCCTTCCTCTTCGCTTTCTGCTCCTCTTGAATTAAGGCTGCCCAATACTATTGGTGCCAACCAAATACCACTGCCCAATACAGGTGCAGCAGATCAGTACCTCTCAAAGAAAGGGAAATCTACTTCCTTGTCGTTTTATTTGGATCCCTAGCTAGGCTATCTATATCTAGCTTAGCTAGCAGAGTTAATGATTTGCTGCCAAGGAAAATATATATGAACAGATTATAAATCATGGGTTCACTCTCTTCTCTTCAACTAAGGCTACCCAAATGATGCCCCTACTGCTCACATGGTGTAGCTGCAGTCTGCAGAGGGCCTTTCAAAGAAAGGGAAAATCTACTTTCCTTGTCGTTTTATTTGGAATATATATATATATAAATATATATCCGAAGCTATAGGCTAGCAGAGTTCATTTCTTGTGAATTGGCACAATATATTTTACAAAACGAAGTGAACAAGCATTTTCCTTACAGCATTGTACTAGTAGTCAATTTGCAGTTCGATCGAATTGATTGGAGTACCTGCATTTCCTTTTGCCTTACATCTATATTATTAACTCTAACTTAGCTTGATCATCACTACTCCACATCTAAAACCGGAGGCTGATAATTTTTTCGATGATTATAAAGTCTTCGATCCGCTTCAAAGATTGTACATTTACTTGGTTGTGAAAAAGAACATAAAGAGTACGGTTGAAGTTCAAGTTCGAAAGGCAAAATCTTTCATCAATTTTATTACAAAACAAGATAACTCTTGCTTATACTGTTTCATATATAGCACACTACTGCGGCATATGTTTGATATGAATAATTTAAAAGTTGTTTCTTATGATCTGCCGTATAAAATGTCTCTAGTTTTTTTTACTTGCTTGCAGCAGCTGCAGCTCAATTAGGCACACCCTTTACAGGTAAGGTGCAGAAAGCTCAGCGATGTAAAAAGGTATATATATATATATATATATGTCTATCTGTCTGTGGTCATAGTCCACATTCTTTTAGCTTCATTGAAATTTCTAATAACATTATGGTCAAGTAGTTAATTACCCTACTTTTTACCTTGGTAATTCATATGTTTTTCTCTTTAGCATGCAGCCAGTTTTGACTTTGTCTGTGTACTGCACTAGATTTTAGGTGTAAATTATAACACACCCCTCAGTAATCCCCTTCTCATTCCTAGATTGTGATTCTTAACACTTCTTAATCATATATTATATATTAGTTGTGATAATATGAATGAACAAAGAAAAACTAAGGCAGCTCGTGCTTTATGAATTTGTACTATATATAGACTTTTTTGATTAACATAGAAAGAAATTGACAATGCATGCACTTTTGAATTTGTCAAATCAACTACTAATTGATTACATCTCCTGCACTTTCACATGTTAATTAGCAGCTGTCATTTACTGATGATTAAAAAACTTGCTGTATCTTTTCGTTTCATAGAACCATAGAGATGTACTTTGTTTTATAAGCATGAATTAATGTAGGAAAAGAATAGTTGATGTGTAAAAACTGCCACAGGATCAAACTATTAAGTAAATGTAAATGCATGGGAAGTCGCAGACATGGGCTTAACCAAGTTGGCTAGAGCGGATGTGCTCTCACTCTGTACCCAAGTCCGAATCCCCCTCCTTGTAGTTTAGATTAGATTAAAATAGATTATCGCTTGTATAAAAAATAAAAGGCATGGGAAGGGTAAATATAAACTTCTATATACTGTGAAAGAGTACTAATACTGTCAGTCAGGATCCTGTAATCAATAGAATTACTTTTTATCAGTAACCACAAATAGTACTGCTCTTTAACAATGATTTTCCTGGAAATGAGTTCTTAATCAAATGTTCAATACTATACTGGTTAACAGGAAATTGAAACATTAACCAAGGGATGATAGCATGTGGTAGCTCAATGTTTGACATAAATTAACGTGCCTTCACTTGCAAGCTTGCAACCCAGCAAATTAATCTTAATTGTCATAAAATAATAGAATTCTTTACTTTTTATTTTTCAGATTTCAATTTGGTTTTGATGAAGATCAATCCTAGTGTAACTTTAACAATATTCTTGTGTATGACGCCACAAAATAACCTAATACTCTTACAATTGAAACGACTGAGTTTGATTATATCTTCACAGCTGCAGTGATCAGAAGAAATTTATTTACATATTCTTCCAATCTAATATGTGCATGCAGTTTTTAATCTTACTGAACTTCAATCTTCAACATGGATTAGCGTTGCTGGGTTACTCATGATCCATCACTTAATGGGATTAACCAGTCAAACAACATGATTATCAAAACCCTAATTTTGTTTTTGTTGAAGAAGGAAAAGCATGAAGAGATTCAACTGGAAATCAAGTCAAGCAATGAGTTTAAATTTAGAAGTACAAAAATCTTCATCTAGAGAGACATATGTAAAGGGAAAGCATATATATAGCATGGTAAATTTATTAAAATGCGATCATCATCATCAATTGGTAAACAAGTATAGCAATGGCCTGCAGGGAGTGCCCATCCTATGGCCTATAACCTAGGCTTAGGAAGCACAATGGATGATGATGAACATGTCACATGGCTAAGGTAGAAAGACAAACTCTGGTGTATATATACATATGCACAAGCACAATTCTCCATACTTATCTATATCGACTATTGATTGTCGTATGGGTTTATTCTAGACAATTGTCGCGCATTTGCCTAAATTATATTCATCTATCTCGGGACGTATGCAAAATAATATTTTTTTAATTAGACAAAAATTGCATGGACCACATAGGGTCTAACCAGCTTTCTCTTTTAAGATTGTTTACTAAGATCAAAATGTAATTATGCAAGGTGAGAAGAGAGGGTTGTGATCAGATTTATGTAGCACTATAAACCCAAAACGGCACCGTTTTGGAAAAAGGAAATAGGAAAATAGGCCAACCAAGGGCTATGGGCCTAAAGACTTGGACTTAACCGCAAACACAAAACAGACATCATCAAAAGCCCAAACTTGGTAACAGAAGAAGAAGAAGAAGTGTTCCGAGTGAGAGAGAGACAGAGCAAAAGGGGCGGAAAGCCAGAGCGCGCCATGGAATACAGATGTGTAGAGTGCGGGGGTCGCATGACGACTCTGTTCGTCCAATACTCACCTGGCAACATTCGGCTGATGAAATGCGTAAATTTTCCTTCTTTTTTCTGTTTTAATTTTTTTTTTCTTCCAGTTTTGCTGCTACAAAATTTAGTTTGAATTTTCTTTTGATAGGGAAACTGCAAGGCAGTTGCAGATGAGTACATCGAATGCGAACCCATAGTAAGCTTATATCTGAATCTCTTCATTTTTCTTCTTTAAAATTCAACAAAATTTAAACTTTTTTTTTGCTGTTGTTGTTGGCACTGCCAGATTATTCTAATTGATCTAATTCTGCACAAGACCAAAGCTTATACACATTTACTCTATAATGTGGTAGACCCACAAGCTCCTTCTTTTCAGGTATTGAAAAAATGCTTCCTTACTCATTATCTAAAACTCTAGACAGCTTTTTGTTTATGGGTTTTATGCTTTGCCTTCAAAACTTCAATCCCAAGAGTTGGTAATTTGTTTTCTTGACACGCTTTGCAGGGTTTATTGTGGAAGTCTACTTTTGGGTTTCTTCTTTTGGATGCTTGTATCCATATCAGGATTATGTTTTTTGGAAATTTATTTCAATTCATTCTTAGAAAATATACATGTACCATTTGGGTGTCTTAACATTTCTCAAGATAGGAGTCTCTTTCTGGAAAGAAGTAAGGAAGAGTGGGGCTTGTCCATGAGCTTCGCGTCATTACTTTGGAGATTTCAAAAGGTTGGTGGAAGGTTTATTGGATTTCATGGGTTTCAGGCATCTAACACAATCTGTGATAAGTTGTAACGGATGGGTTGAAAATGTTTCCATTTCAGTTTATTAGTCAGTAAAAACAAATTTGTTCCCATTTCAGATGCTGATGGACGTTGTCTTTGGAAATATCATGTTTCTTTCTACCTTTTTGCTCTCTATGAGGGTTCTTTTCAGTACATTCCCTAGACCACTCAGGTAACATTTCTTATGGATACTTCTCACGATGGCAGTATATATTCCATAAAATTTTCATTGAGACATCCCTTTATAACCACTTACTGAGAAATCATGCCTGTTTGATCAGCCGATAGAATGGGATAACGGAAGCAGTGAATTGTTCTAGAATCTTTAATTTGCGACTGCTGTAAAATTTTGGTGGGTATTCAAGAATATGCTGACATAAAGAACGAGTAGGAATTTGGTCAGGCATAAGTTCATATGGTTCGAGACCACAATTTGGAGTTTAGGGAAGAATATAGAATACATAAGGAAAAAGACAATTTATGATCACCCATGAGTCATGGCTTAAATGATTAATAAGAGGATTCTTTTAGCCGACCTTTAGTAGTGTTATAAGGTTTTGTTTCAAATCAATACATGCATACATACTTATATGCATATATTCACACAGAAACATGCAGGTGTTATATTGTTTGTTCTGGCACAGGTATAAAGACCTTTTGCTTGCAATATTTATTTCAAGTTACTTCAAGATGTTTCTTATTGCAATGATGGTATGGTTTGCAAATAAAAAAGTTTATTTCCTTATCTCATCTTTTTACTCTACTGAAGAATACTAGGTTAGGTTCAAAGCGTATCTAATTTAAGCAGGTGTTCTACAGGTCTGGGAATGCCCTTCTGTGATTTTCATCATTGATTTATTTGTTTTATCATCGAACACTGTGGCACTCAAAGGTCAGATAATAAATTATTTACAGTTCTTGACATCCTTTTACAGTTTGCAATATCAATGCATATGTCATTAATTAAGAATGGTATGTGTGTCAACTTTTACCAATGAAATATCAAGTCAACTTGTTATAGCAAGGTGCTTTCTGCTAGAGGCATATAACTGATTACTTTAGTTTTGAGGAACACTCATGGTTTCATGATGTAAATAGATGCTCAGCCTTGATTTGATGTGGAGGTTTGCATTAGAAAATGTTAGCTTTCTTTAGTATTTCTTAAATCTTATTGTGTGGGAGATTCTTTAACTATGGATGGCTGACTGCAGCTGAATATCCTTTGTTCTTCTTCTTTGTTTGAAACAGTGATAACTCAGTCAGCTATGAGTAGATGTATAGCAGCCTGCTTCAGTGCTCATGTGGTAAAGTTTTTGGTCACACAAAGGTGCTGGAGTTGGGAACTTTGAAATCGTAGATCATTGTTGTTTTAAATCTCTCTCTCTCTCTCTCTCTCTCTGTATTGAAAGGTTTATTCAAATTTATTGTTTTTTTAATAAATAGATCAACATTTCCTCCAAAGGCAGTGTTGGTGTGAGTATGACTGCTGTAAAATGCGATGGTGTAAATGTGCAAGATGTATGTCCCTCCCTGTTATGAAATAGAATTGTGCATAAATCAGTACTCTTGTTATTTTTCCTCTTCAATTGCTCCCTAACCAAAGGAAAGAGGAGAAAACGTTTTTTTTTTCCTTTCTTAAGACTGAGCAATGGCATGTAAACATTGAAAAGAGTTACACTATATGAAGAGAATTGCTATGAGAAATATTTGTGCTTCTGTTGACAGGAGAGACGTGATCTCCAAAGTACTGCTTTTGAGAAAAGAAATCTAATTTGTTTTGTAGATGAGGGTGATGTGCTACCCTTCCAAGACCTCTTGTGGTTTACTGATGCTCTCCTATAACTAAAATGTTGCACTATCGATGTTGCAGCAGCTAATGCAGCATAAAACTTTTACCCATCCATGGAGTAATTCAGTGTTCCTTTCAACAAAAGCTCTCCTATAACTAAAATGTTGCACTATCGATGTTGCAGCAGCTAATGCAGCATAAAACTTTTACCCATCCATGGAGTAATTCAGTGTTCCTTTCACTTCTTACTCCACTATCGCTATCATAGACTCCTCCCCATGGCTCCGGTAGATTAGAGTCACTGAAAGTAGTGTATGTTGTTTCTTCACAGGATAATAATCCTGGTCACCAATGAAATTATTTAAGAACTGTGGGAAAAGAATCGTAAACTCCAGATTATCCGGAGACTACGACTCACCACTGCATGTCAATATAGTTATTGGCATGCATAACATCTCCCAGTTCTGTGTTCCTTGGCGACAGCAGTGTGTAATCCTGTGGCCGAAATGGATGAAGGAATGCCCAGATTTTCTTCTGGCTGAAGGTAAGCCTGGATTAAGAAACATCACAAGCAAGCGTTAAGATTGGATGTACTTCTTGTGATCCATATTGAGAAGTTCATATAAAAATATTAAATAAAATTGAAAGAGCATGCTCATTCTCACCTCTGAACTAACTGATTCATTGTGATCATTGGTTGAAATTTTATAAACCTGGGTTAAGAATCACAACAAGCAAGCACTAAGTTTGGATGCAATTCTTGTGCTCCATATTAAAAAAGTTCATATGAGAAAAAAATAATTCGAAGAGCATGCTCATTCTCACCTCTGAAAACCTTTCATCAGTAGCCCCATTTTGAACACTATAAGCGGTGTTGCTAACCGGTTCATAGTGATAATTAGTTGAAATGTTATTCCCAGTTGGAGATAGCTGCTTACTGCAGTCATCATTATAGAGACTGGGAACATTTCCCTGCTTGGTGCATAATGCTGACGGCAGTGTGGAGGAGCAGTAATTTTGTGGCTGAGATGGGGGTGGTGGCTGATGTGGGTGAGGTGCGGGTGGTGGCTGATGCGGGTGAGATGGGTGTGGTGGCTGATGTGGCTGATCAGCCCAGAACGGCTGCATTAAGAAACACAGACAAGCAAGCGTTAAGTTTTCAAGTGCATATTGTGCTGATACATGAAAAGTCCATAAATTTACACATTTATGTACTCTTTATGCTTAGTTTTTGTAGGAGAATTTGATTTAAAAGGGACTTATTACTTTATTTTCTCAATTTTCAGCTTTCCAGAGCAAGTAATTGGTTTTCAACAGAAATAGGACTTTTTGGTGGAGTTTTTGTACAAGACCAGTTGGATATGAAAGCTAATATCTTGAAGATGATTGTGGAGTTTTTCTAGAATTTTCGGAGCAGCCAATGAGAGCAGTCTTTGAAGTTAAGTCAGCATAAGCTGCAATCCTGTCAAAACTGTGCTGCTGTGGAAGAATGATTATTTCAAGACTTTCCTGATTTTTGCTCAAGGCGTGCAATATATGGTTGGAAAGATAAGACAAAGACCTACAATTTACATATTTTTCCCAAATTTGCTTGGAGGAGGAACGACCCCAAACGTGTGTACAAAGTAACTGACGTGTTATCCCAGTCAAAGTAGGAAGAAGAGTCGATTACTTACCCATTTTGGATTTATGTTTTAATTAGGCTTTTCTATATTTTTGGGCTGCTGTAAAATCCCAGCTAGGGTAGTAATAGACGTGGTGTTTTATTAAGCATGAGAAACAACTCCTTTGGGGGATTACACAAAGACTTGGAGAGATTGGAGACGTCGGAAGAGTACCATAATTGGCTAAGTTTTATTTTTTCTTCCTTATGTTTTTGCTTATGCCGAATTCTATGATTATGCGTAACTAATTTTCTGTTGCTAGGGCATGATGTAGCCCTAGTATGATAATCTAGTTTTCTTATTTTACATATCTATCTATTGATTGCCGTTTGATGTTGGATTCTTAATCACTGTGTTTAATAACTTGGTTGATTATCTTGATGCTTGATCACCATCTAGACTTTTAATTGAGTTAATCGAATGCAAATTAGAGTAAATACCATACTTAATTTGAGGCTTGCTTCTTGTGATTAGGATTTGTAATTCGTCTGGGGTAAATATCATACTCCTAGGGATTACATGCTTGTTGGAGGTTTTCATTGATCTTAATAAGTTTCTATGTGTTCATATTTGACCTAAATACCATAGGCGAATTACATGTAGGAATATACGAGTTAGACTAAATACCATAAGTAATTCAAGAAAAAAGAAAACTAAGCAGCGACATCAAATGATTAATTAATAGGTAGTGTTGGAAATTAAATAATTAAAATATTTAAATTTATGGTTGAGTGAAAAAATACAAGAGTCAGTTTTGCTCGAATAATTGCATTGTTTCAAATGCAACTGATATTATTTGTTAGCATTCAAAAGCAATTGCTTTGTTGAATGCGGTTATCAAATATAGAAGCATCTTTTATGATGATACACATATGATAGCAGTGCATAAATGATTAGTTTGTTTAGATCATCAAGTATGCAATTTTCAAATATTACAACGTTTGTTGCTGGGCTTGAAATTTCAACCAAGTCACCCAACCACATAAGCAGAATAAGTGAGCAGTTTCATACTGTAGCAGTTTCTATGATTTTTTTAATTATGGAAAATTACATTTTGGTGGGGGCTGGATGTTATGCGAAATGATGTATATTCAGCATACATAATAGCACAATTGATATAACTTTCAAATTGACTTTGAGGATGAGGGCATGTGGTCACATCTCGTTGAACAAGTTAACTGTAACTGTTTGTTGTGTTTGCTAAATCCCATGTACTGGGTTGTGATTATGATGTTTGCAAGCATGAATTACATCAGTTTATTGTATCTATTTCACTAGTTGGTAAATTCATGGTCTTCATGTGAAGGATAAACTTGAATTATGAATGTCTGAATTCTAGAATCATGTCTGCATGTTTGGTTTACAGTTGGGAAAATCTCCAAATTATATATGCATGTTGGTGAAGAGATGCAAGCCATTGTGTCTAGACGTGATCCAACTAGAAATTTGGTTTTCAGTTTCTAATGGTTGCAGGGTGTTAAATCCTTTCATTGGGCTTCTGGCTGTTCATATCAAATACATTAAGAATCATATGGTGCTTGTTTCTAGTTACTCATATAAACGTATGTATATGAAGCATTGGGTTGACATCGAGATATGCAATTCATATATTGCAAATATTTGGTTTTGCAAATTTTCCTGAAGAAGGGAAAGCAAGTCAGTGTATTGTCTATATTTGACAAACACAATTGACGAATACTTCCAAGAAGAGAAGTAGTGTTGAAATGACCAGAAACGTGGTATATTTCTTTGTCTTACAAAGACAACAACTGAAATGTGGGGGCAAAGCCCCATTTTGTAGAATTAACTTTCTAACTGTGAGGCTTCAAACTACAATGGTTTGTATGAAAGGGAAATTTTCCATTAAATGGAAATGATGAGAAAAGTGTGGGGAAACACTGTGTATCTAGTTTCTTTATTTCGCAGGCAAACCTGGATATATGGCCATTTAGATGTGTTAGTCATGACTTTAAGGTACTTGAGGTACATTATCATGAACTATGGGGTACGTGAAGGATTCAAACAATGCTTTAGTTCTTTGACATAGACAAAGTACCTAAGTGAATATCTCAATTTAGATAAAGAAGTCCACAAAGTGATTGGCATGATCTGCAATGGAATGTGAATCCATAGCCTTAACAAGGGTGGTGGGGCGAGTAAAGTGGCTTCGAAATTTCCTAGAGGATATTCATGTGTAACAAAATTACACAAATGATGAGAATCCGAAAATGTGGGGGTCTATTGCAAAATTGCACTAAACGTAATTTGCAAAGTTCTTACGGTATGAAAATTCATTGGTAGTTTAATAGCAATCACAATTGTAAGAGAATTGTGGGGGGTGGCTTAATTATCTTTGTAATCTCATATTCGTGTAAGAATGGACAAGTAATTTGCTCTTTAAAAGAGATGATTAACGTTTATTTTAAGGTATAAAAAGGTTGATGACCCTACAAATACCTTAAATGTGGGGGAAGTCTACTGAAGAGTTGGCAAATTACTTCGTAAGTCCCTGCAAAACGTATGGAGGACTTTTTGAAAAATAACCACTCTCGAATGAATATAATTTCATAAGATGGAATGTGCACACCCATCAATTTATAGTCAACCTAGTGGATCCAAAATTTAACAGGTTGGACTAGAGAGTGAGTTGAGCATCGAGGGGAATGAGGTTAAAGCTAACATATTGAATGAATTGGCCGGGCGGAAACCAAACCTAGTTGATTGGAGATCCCATGGTCTAGGTTCAATAGGCAAACTGGTTAGGCATGATTCAAAGTTGTTACACACTATACCTTATTCCTATGGTGGAAGAAGTGTGTTGTATGCAGAAGTATAAAGGGTACTTATGTTTAATGATGGTACTTATGTTTAATGATATTGATATCTTATAAATAAGAGGAATATAGCAGACTATTCTTAATCAGTGTGTCACCTATGTGAGAGTAGAAGTGGGGTCACTTTTATGAGAGTGAGATGGCTAAGTTCTCTAAAGCTCTCATGAATCCGGGAATTGTTCAAGACCAAAATGAACACAACCGCATGAACCATAATATATTAGGATTGGAGATGTGTGATTCCTATTGTCTCAATTTACTACTGCGGTGAACAGTTCAAGTTCATTATATCCACTGCGCCACCAAGTGAATCCGATAGGTATTCACTATGATAGGTTCAAGTCTAAAAGACACCTCTTCGGATGCATCTCTTTTCCATCAGTACTCTCAAATTTCTTCTTAAATTTTCACTCATGGGGGATTATTGGAAATTAGATAATTATAATATTAATTAAATATTTAAATATTTAAATTTATGGTTGAGTGAAAAAGTACAAGAGTCAGTTTTGCTCAAACAATTGCATTGTTTTAAATGCAATTGATATTATTTGTTACCATTCAAAAGCAACTGCTTTGTTGAATGCAGTTATCAAATATAGAAGCATCTTTTGCAATCAAAAGTTGCGTCCATTGGTGGATACCTGATGGGTTATATATAAACCCATTACCTTCTTTACAAATAAGGAGTTTTTCCCCACTTATGCTATGTTAGAGTATCAATCTTCAAGTTTCCTTCCTAAGTGTCTTGAGAGTACAAATATATAATTGGTTCGCCGCCATAGTCTTCAATTGAAATGCTTCAATTTAGGATTATTGATTGTTGAATCCTGGCAGATAGACGCCCAAAGAACAGCGAGCACAAGGGCAAGGGCGAAATCTGTCTTTAGGACATTGCAATTCTTGCAAGCCTCAATCGCTAAAGTTGTCAGTATTTCTACACATTTGTGTTTGTTGATTTACATTAATTTCATGTGAATCTGTTGTATATTTGATGGTTACAATTTTGTTGAGAATTATTATAATCTAAATTCATATTTTATATTGTTCCGTCAACAAGTAGATGAATATGAGGCTAGATCAAATTACTAGTGGTGAATTCATTGTTCTAGTGCTTTTATCAATTTGAATTTCTCATCTTTGTGTTTTGTGACTTCTACTTGTTTTGTCTTTTAATTTCGTTGTTGATTAAATCATTCTTTCAAAAATCCCTTTTGTGTTTACGTGAGTATGCTACGTGTTTAATTTCTTGTTTATATAATTAGAGTAGTTAAAGTATTTTGTGAAGTAAATTAAGTTAAGACTAATTGGAAGTTGAACTCAATTCTCGTGGGAATGACCTTGTATTTGTCATACTATATTACGATTGACCTTATGCACTTGCGAGTATAATTTGTGTTTAGACTAATCTTTATAATCTCCATTTTTCAGGTTGTCTAAAATTCACAACAATACAGCAAGTTCATATAAACAAAAATGTTCAAAAGTTCACCTCTTCCAACAGATCATCAAAATCAGACCACAAGAAGCCATCAGGTGAACCAACACCAACGCCGCCAAATGATGTGGCTGAGGTGGGTGTGGTGGCTGATGTGGCTGCTAGCTGCTGTACTTCAAGATCAGCACAGGACGGCTGCAATAAGAAACACAGACAAGCAAGCAAGCGTTAAGTTTTGAAGTGCTTCTTGTGCTGATACAGCAAGTTCATATAAACAAAAATGTTCAAAAGTTCACCTCTTCCAACAGAATATTAAAATCAGACCACAAGAAGCCATCAGGTGAACCAACACCAACGCCGCCAAATGATGTGGCTGAGGTGGGTGTGGTGGCTGATGTGGCTGCTAGCTGCTGTACTCCAAGATCAGCACAGGACGGCTGCAATAAGAAACACAGACAAGCAAGCAAGCGTTAAGTTTTGATGTGCTACTTGTGCTGATACAGCAAGTTCATATAAGCAAAAATGTTCAAGAGTTCACCTCTTTCAACAGATGCTCATCTGGGCCTTGAATCATACCAGTTGCAGCAGCTTGATCATCTTCAGAGTTAGAGGCGATTTCGCCACCAATAGCAGGTTCAGCTAATTCATTGCCGCAGATTGAAACATCCTTCAGCTTCTTAGAATTTGCTGACTTACTCTTCAGGCAGCAGAGAACAAACTCTTTCTTCTGATTGGGATTAGGACCCACACCCAGTTTGGCAAGTTCAGCTTTGGTGAGAGAATACTCATGTATGACATACTTGGTCTTCTTGGCACTGGGCACATGATCCTTAAAAGCCAAATACCTCTTCTTACCAATCACAGTTTTGGATAGTTCATCCTTGATCTCACGATCCCTGCATGTGATTTTATATTTGCCCTCATCTGTGGTCCTGTTGCAGCGATCTCTTTTGGAGTTCTTGTAATCAGGTTTGCTGAAGAAGACCGCTGAAATGCAACGCAAGCAAAGTTTTGGAAATTTGAAACCAACCCAAGTCTTTGAAGTGCTCAACAACAGAGCATCTAAACAAGATGATACATTTAGGCATACAACAAAATAATACTTGAGAAATGAGAAATGGGTAGTGAATGCAACAATAAACAAAATTTTGAAACCAAACTACTCAACAACAACAGAACCGATCAAGATCATAACTTTATAAATAAACAAACACATAGCAAAAATGGGTAGTGAAGAAAAAGTGAGAAAGATTAATGGGTTACCAGGCAGATCACGAGGCTCACGCTTGCAGACATGATCAATTACAGGGATGATGTCCCTGAATTCTGAGTCCTTCCCCTCTATTTGTTTCTTCAAGTAGTAGCCAACCAGTTCCTGTTCGGTGGGAGAGAAGGACTTAACCCCGGGTAGGCCTTTCTTCCCTGAAACTCCTTCACCCGTTGTGCCGCCTCCTACGCCGCTTCCGCCGCCTCCGCCTCGGCCGCTCATCTTTCCTCCTGAAGCAACATGATCAAAGCCACAGCCAGGAGAAGCTGCCGCGGCAGCGGTGCTATGATCAGAAACCGAGACCATCAGAGTTGGAACCAGATGCTGCTGCTCAGCCCTAAGAAGAAGAGCCTCCAAAGCAACCCAGGTAGCACGGGCGGAGATAGAACCCTCCAGAGTAGCAACAACAAAGTGGCTGAGGGAGCCATTGATCAAAGAAAGCACAAACTGGTCCATCTGAATCCAGTAGTCATAAGCGGGATTGGTCGTGTTGGTGGGTTTCCCGTCGGCGTCGAGAAGAAAGGCGGGAGGACACGTGGCGGTACCGTCGACGAAAGACATCAGGCCGTTGCTGTTGAGGAAAGGAATGATCTGCGCCAACCAAAGGGGGTACTTTGTAGGATCCAATTTCGCTGTGAGCGGCGGCAGTGCAGGCACTGGCTTGTCAGCAGCAGCAGCAGCAGAGGCAGAGCTGGAAGAAGATCCAGTGGTTGCAGCCATGGCCATGACAGAAAATGGAAGAAAGCCTGTAGGAGGAGGAGACACCAAGAAAAAAGGAGATTTTGGGCAGAGTGAGTGAGTGAGTGAGCAAGGATGCAGCAGAGTGGAAGTAACTTGTATTAATTGATCAGAAAAATAGACTAATTTTGACTGGTGTTTTTTTTAAAAAAAATTTAAAACTTTATATTTTTCCAGGTTTTTGAGCTGCGCTTCCCATACAAGCTTACCTGAGTCAGTGGAAGTGGGTCCCATTCAGTCCTTTCCCGCGTTTTATTATTATTATTATTATTGTATTTTACATTTGTTTCTGTTCTTTTCAAGGAATCTTTTTTTTTGTCGAAATTTTTACAAGGAATCTTATCCACCCCTCTTGTAGTAATTTTCTTTTCTTCATTTGCTCATTGATTTTTGAGGGGAAAACAAATACAATCCAGGAACATTCTAGACTCTTTATTCATAAAAATATTATTATTTGGGATGTTAAGAATCTATGTAAACTATAAATTTTATATTTAATTATTGGCAATCATTTTTGAAGTTGTTAACGAGTTTTTACTTTCATTATGTTTTGTTTGCATTTTTTGTTAGTTACATAAATTTTAGAATCTATGTAAACTATGTTTTGTTTGCATTAACTAAGTTGATTTTTCTATCTATTTTAGTGCGTACCTTTTGTTTGAAAATTTCAATTTTGAATTGTTTTCTTTTTAATTAAAATGAGTTTTGGGTTTTTGAAGAACATTTTCTAGAGTTCTAAATTTATTTTCAAATTTTCATATGATAGAGTGATCCAACTTCAAACTTTTGTTAGGTATTCATCTTGAAAGTTTGGAAGTTGTATGTCGAAGTTTGAAAACCAAATTACAAGTTTGTTATGTGTATTTTATAGGGCTGCACATTTATACCGAAAACCCGACCGAACTGGCCGAACCGGATCGATTTTGGCAGGTTGGTTCGGTTTTTTTTTTTAAATTATTGAAATCGGCAGAAAAAACCGGCCGACCCAGAAAAAACCGATTCAAACCGGTTTGAATTTTTCAAAATCGTCGAAACCCAAACCGGACCGATTCCATGAAAATTGTCTAAAATTTCATAATAAGTGCAGTGATGGGGAGTCGAACTCTTTCCAAGGTGCAGACACAAAGCCCAAATTCCACTGGACTGATGCGTCTTCTTGTGAAATGTATGTACGATTATAATATTTAGTACAATCTAAAGAATTAAAACAACATTAAAAAAAGAGTTAGGTTTCCTACCCCACAAACTCTCCTTTTCCTATTCTTTTCTCCCAACCGTCACTTTCTTCTTCTCTCTCCATTTTTTATTTTTTCTTCTTCCTCCATTTTTTCTTCCTCCCGCCACTGGCAACACTTTCTCTCTCTCCATCAGATCTGCCTCTCTAACTCAACCTCCTCCCCCCAAACCAAATCCGTCGACTTCTTCTTCCAATCTCTCTTATTCTGTTAGTCATTGTCGCTCCCTCTCTCTCTCAGTCACTCTCGCAGCGTGGCTCTCTCTCTTAGTCAATCTCGCTCTCTCTCTCTCAGTGACTCGCGCTCTCTCTCTCTGCTCTCACTCACCTTCAGTTGCTCTTTTTGGGCCTCGGCAGAAACCCGCCAACCCGACCTAACCCTACCCGACTTATCGGGTTTCGAATTCATTCGAAAATGGGCCTAAAAATGAGGTGTGCGGTTTGCCCAATGGGCCTGCCTACATAGCCGGTTCGATGAGAGGTTTGGGCCTATACCCGACCCGACCCAACCCGTGTTCACCCCTTGTATTTTAAGACCCATTAACGCAGACAAGTTCAATTTGAAGAATTTTAAATGCATTTCATATCTCTTTTTTTTATTCGTAAAAGAAAGTTACAAACAAAAACATCTCAGGTACGCAAACTCAAAAAGGTCAAAATAAAAGGTGAAAGAGCACAAAAGAGGCAGCTCATGCTCCCACAAATTGGACGGGGAAAGGCCATGGCCCAAATTCGCAAGATCATTAAAGTTGGCCTCTCTAAACACATGATTCACATAAACCTCCTCACAAAAGGAGCACTAAACTGATATCTTGGATGAGGACTTGAATACTCCAAGGAACTGAGGCAGCTTTGTTTACACAGTCAATGATTAGCTTGAATCCCCCTCAATGAGAACCTTCTTCCAACCCCGATGGATCGCATAGGCTAGCCCATCCCTAAGGGCAAGACATTCAGCCACTGTAATTGTTGTAGCTTCCAACCCCGGTGTGTTTGAAATATGAAATGAGAATATGTTAATATATCATAACACACAAAATTCCATTCAACACTGAAAGGTTCTTAATATACAAAATTGACAAAGATACAGTGCACAAGGGCCGCAAGAATGCTGCACAGGACCGCAGCATTTGATATAGGCCAATTACAAAAACAAAATCAACAACATTTACAAGGATACCAATAATAATAATACAGTTTTACAATGATTGTAGGGGTTGGTTGTTTCTGCTTGAAGGTGATAGGTTTTAAACCAATCATAATCATGCAGTTTTACAATGATTGTAATTACTACTCCATTTAGGAAGGAATCTCGAACTTCCATACCAATAACCATAACGTCACATTAGCGTCTGGTCACTGTATTATATATCGAGACTCCAGCAGCCATGTAGAAGCAGATCCTGTATAATGCCACTTCCAGAACAATAGAGTGCGGAACGAAAGCCTGAGTATAAGGCTAGAGCTAGAACTTGGGAACGAAAGCCTGAGAATAAGGCTACAGCTGGAACGAAAGCCTGAGAATAAGGCTAGCGCAAGAACTTGGGAACGCAAGCCTGAGAATAAGGCTACAGCAAGAACTTGGGAATGAAAGCCTGAGAATAAGGCTACAGCAAGAACTTGGGAACGAAAGCCTGAGAATAAGGCTACAGCAAGAACTTGGGAACGAAAGCCTAAGAATAAGGCTAGAGCTAGAACTTGGAATCAAAATATTATGCCATGCCCTATCCGGGACTTGCTTAATGGTTTCAAGGTGGTGCTTCCATTAACATCAAAAGAACCCTATTGTCACCTGCTTCGAACTGTATACTTCCAGGACTTGGTTTTCAGGTGAAGAGAGCAATACAATACTCTGTACCTTCCCTAACCTGCAAACAGAGTTACAGAAATCACATTAGTGAAAAGAGGAAAAAGCCTCCTCAAACCTTCAAACAAGAGCTTTTATTTACCGTGAGAAAGCCATAAAGGCTTCTCTTCATGTTTTCAATTGAAAGTCTCTCCCCTTGTCTTGTGATACAGCTTTGCAGTCGGATTCTTCTCGGAGCACCTCCTATGTGTGAAGACATGAATGGATGCTGCTTGGTATTGAGTGTGCTATGATAAAGAGAGTACACTATTTGAAGAGAATTGCCATGAGAAATATTTGTGCTTCTGTTGACAGGAGAGACGTGGTCTCCAAAGTACTGCTTTTGAGAAAAGAAATCTAATTTGTTTTGTAGATAGGGGTGATGTGCTACCCTTCCAAGACCTCTTGTGGTTTACTGATGCTCTCCTATAACTAAAATGTTGCACTATCTATGTTGCAGCAGCTAATGCAGAATAAAACTTTTACCCATCCATGGAGTAATTCAGTGTTCCTTTCACTTCTTACTCCACTATCGCTATCATAGACTCCTCCCCATGGATCCGGTAGATTAGAGTCACTGAAAGTAGTGTATGTTGTTTCTTCACAGGATAATAATCCTGGTCACCAATGAAATTATTCAAGAACTGTGGGAAAATAATCGTAAGCTCCAGATTATCTGGAGACTGCGACTCACCACTGCATGTCAATATAGTTATTGGCATGCATAACATCTCCCAGTTCTGTGTTCCTTGGTGACAACAGTGTGTAATCCTGTGTCAGAAATGGATGAAAGATTGATCCCAGATTTTCTTCTGTAAACAGATCATCGAAATCAGACAAGAAGAAGCCATCAGATGAACCAACACCAAAGCCACCAAATGATGTGGATGAGGTGGGTGTGGTGGCTGATGTGGCTGCTAGCTGCTGAGGTGGAAGAAAGGTTGAATCCATATTTACTCCAAGATCAGGACAGGACGGCTGCAATAATAAACACAGACAAGCAAGCCTTAAGTTTTGAAGTGCTTCTTGTACTGATACAGCAAGTTCATATAAACAAAAATGTTCAAAAGTTCACCTCGTTAAACAGATCATCAAAATCAGACAAGAAGAAGCCACCAGGTACATCAAAGCTACCAGGTAAACCAACACAGGTTGAAATATCATTATTTTCTGTAGGAGAAAAACCATTTGGAGACTCTGACTCGGCGCATTCATTATGATTCTCAGTGCCAAGCAGAACATCTTTGTCTGCGAGATGCTCATCTGGGCCTTGAATCATATCAGTTGCATCAGCTTGATCATCTTCAGATTTAGAGGCGATTTCGCCACCAATAGCAGGTTCAGCTAATTCATCGCCGCAGATTGAATCATCTTTCAGCTTCTCAGATTTTGCTGACTTATTCGTCAGGTGGCAGAGAACTAACTCCCTCTGCTGATTGTTTTGAGCACCCAGTTGGGCCAGTTTAGTCTTGGTGAGAGAATACTCATGCATGACATGCTTGGTCTTCTTGGCTTTGGGCACACGACCTTCGTAGTAAGACAAAATCCTCTTATTACCAATCACAGCTTGGGATTGTTCAGCCCTGATCTCACGAACCTTGCCTGTGCTTTTATAAAAACCCTCATCTGTGCTTCTGTTGCAGCGCTTGCTGTTGTTGTATTTGTAATCCGGTTGGCTGAAGAAGAACGCTGAAATTCAACGCAACCAAAATATTGGAAATTTGAAACCAACCGCTGCTAAACAAGATGATAAATTTACGCATACAACAAAATGGTACATTAGAAATGAGAAATGGGTTGCCCTTTTCAAAAGGGTTGAAATCGAAATGAAACACAAAACAAAATTTTGAAACCAAACTGCTCAACAACAGAAATGACAAAGATCATAACTTTATAAATAAACAAAAACACTGTAAAAATGGGCAGTGAAGAAAAAGTGAGAAAGATTAATAGGTTACCAGGCAGATCACTAGGCTTGTGGTTGCAGACATCGATTACAGGGATGATGTCCCTGAATTTTGCGTCCTTGCCCTCCATCTTCTTCTTCAAGTAGAAGCCAACCAGTTCCTCTCCGGTGGGAGAGAACTTATACCCGGGCAGGTCCATCTGCTTTGAATCTCCTTCACCTGTTGTGCTGCTGCTGCTCATCTCTCCTCCTCCTGAGCCACACCCACCAGAACCTACCATGGCAGCGGTGCCATGATCAGAAACCGGGACCGGAGTCGAAAGCAGAGCCGCCAAAGCAAGCCAGGTAGCACGGGCGGAGATAGAACTAGCCACAGTAGCAAGGACAGGGTGGCTGAGGGAGCCATTGATCCAAGAAAGCACCAACTGGTCCATCTGAATCCAGTCTTCATAAGCTGGATTGATCGCGTTAGTGGGTTTTCCGTCGGAACCGAGAAGAAACGCAGGCGGACAAATGCTGGTGCCGTCGACGAAAGAGATCAGGCGGCGGCTCCTGAGCAGAGGAATGATCTGCGCCAGCCAAATGGGGTAATTGGTAGGATCCAATTTCACATTGAGGACAGACGGCAGAGCAAGAGCTGGGTCATCAGCAGAGGCGGCAGAGCTTGAAGAAGATCCAGTGGTGGCAGCCATGGCAGAAATGGAAGAAAGCTCTGCGAGAGCCCCAGAAAGAAGGAGACTAAAGTGAGAAAGCAAGGCACCAGAGTGAGTTGTAATTATAGGCCACCGATTGTAATTTGATAAAAATATCAAAAAGACTAATTTCGAGCTGAGCGTCTCAAACAAGTTCATATGAGTGAGTGACGTGGCATGGCTTGCGACATACCAGTTGGTCCCATCCAGTACTTTCCCTCCTTTTTTTTATTGTATTTGGTATTTGTTTATGTCCTATTGAAGGAATATAATGGACCTGCTCTTGGAAGTTCAGAGAGATTGGTAATTTTCTTCCCTTCGGGGAACATTCTAGACTTCAGATACGTGGATCAGATCAAAGGCTTTTTGAGAATAAGCGATATTGTATTCATGAATCAAGCCCCAGGCTAAAAGCCATACAAACCAGAACAAGAACCAAAACGGTTACAGATACCCATAAAGGGTTAATACAGATGTGGACAGTAGTCCAAAGGAGGAGGACACCGGAAGCAAAGGGCACTCCGGACATGGCCATAGCAGGCCAGAGAGAACAGTACTGGACAGTAGTCCAGAGAGGGAGGACACCGAAAAAATCGGGCACTCCAGTCATGGCCACAGAGGACCAGAGATAAAGCGGTAAAAACACCGCAGGCCAGGAAAACTCCGGCATCGAACAGTAACAGCCTAAAGCCAAACGCCAAGGCACCCAAACTACAAATACAACAAAACTTAAACTCTTACAAGCAAATACAAGAAGAGACTGAACAAGCAACACTCGCAAAACGAGTTGAAGCACTAAAAAACCGCAAGAAAACTGCAGAAAAACAGATCTGCACCGCAAGCTCGACAACTCCAGGGAGAGCCGAGAACACCCAAGCCGACCAGGCCGATGAGCAGTCCCGGGGAAACGAATAGATCTGAGTAGATCTAAACAGGAGCACCAAAACAGAGCCCACCACCGCGCCGACCGCCGAAAGAGCTACCAGAAAACCACGAACCCACCCAAAATCAGCCACAGTAGCAGTAGAAAGATGGGTAAGAAGAGATCTGGACCAAAAGCCAAAACTAAAGCAAAGCAAGAGAAAAAGGCGTGGAAAAGTAAAATAAAACCCCAACAGGGGAAGCGGGAGGCAAAGGAAAGGAGGGATGAGAAGAAGGAAAGGGAGTAGAAACAGGACGGGTTGCACCAAAGGAAATGGCCACCAACCCCCAAAGGGGGGCGGCGGCTAAGCTTTCAGAGAGAGAGAGTTTTTCTTTTAGCTAGGGTTTGGCCTTCCCTATATTTGGGACCGCTAAAAGAAGGGCCACCTAATTAGGACCATCTAACTATGTTTCTAATGGCAGGAAAATAGGCAATTGATTAACCCATTGCACAACCCTCGTATTGTAGTTTCCACTTGTGCCCAGAACTCTCTTTTTTGGTCGAAAATGACCAGAAACCTTCAACAATGACAAAGTCTCTTTTATTTGTTCACAAAACCATTTGCTTGAAGAGAGGGCCCCACCTTTTATTGTTAGGTGCTTAAAACCCTCAACTTCTAAGAGAAGTTACAGCTGTCTATCTAAATTTACTTTCGGGTTTTCGACCGAAATAGTCCCCCAACTAGTGATTTATTATCATTTTAGTCTACCAGCTAAAATTTTCATTTAAATAGTCATTCAACTCTTTATTTGGTATCAAAACGGTCCTATCATCAAATATTCTGTTAAATTGAGGGATAAAAAAAGTAAAATATTATTTAAAAAATTAAACAATTAAAAACTGAAATGCCAAAACATCTAAACCCCCACACCCCCAAAAAAAATCTGACTTTCCCTTCCTCAGCAAGCAAGCACAGTGACTTCCATGGCTTCCACCAAAAATCTACAGATTGAATCATCTTTCAGCTTCTCAGATTTTGCTGACTTATTCGTCAGGTGGCAGAGAACTAACTCCCTCTGCTGATTGTTTTGAGCACCCAGTTGGGCCAGTTTAGTCTTGGTGAGAGAATACTCATGCATGACATGCTTGGTCTTCTTGGCTTTGGGCACACGACCTTCGTAGTAAGACAAAATCCTCTTATTACCAATCACAGCTTGGGATTGTTCAGCCCTGATCTCACGAACCTTGCCTGTGCTTTTATAAAAACCCTCATCTGTGCTTCTGTTGCAGCGCTTGCTGTTGTTGTATTTGTAATCCGGTTGGCTGAAGAAGAACGCTGAAATTCAACGCAACCAAAATATTGGAAATTTGAAACCAACCGCTGCTAAACAAGATGATAAATTTACGCATACAACAAAATGGTACATTAGAAATGAGAAATGGGTTGCCCTTTTCAAAAGGGTTGAAATCGAAATGAAACACAAAACAAAATTTTGAAACCAAACTGCTCAACAACAGAAATGACAAAGATCATAACTTTATAAATAAACAAAAACACTGTAAAAATGGGCAGTGAAGAAAAAGTGAGAAAGATTAATAGGTTACCAGGCAGATCACTAGGCTTGTGGTTGCAGACATCGATTACAGGGATGATGTCCCTGAATTTTGCGTCCTTGCCCTCCATCTTCTTCTTCAAGTAGAAGCCAACCAGTTCCTCTCCGGTGGGAGAGAACTTATACCCGGGCAGGTCCATCTGCTTTGAATCTCCTTCACCTGTTGTGCTGCTGCTGCTCATCTCTCCTCCTCCTGAGCCACACCCACCAGAACCTACCATGGCAGCGGTGCCATGATCAGAAACCGGGACCGGAGTCGAAAGCAGAGCCGCCAAAGCAAGCCAGGTAGCACGGGCGGAGATAGAACTAGCCACAGTAGCAAGGACAGGGTGGCTGAGGGAGCCATTGATCCAAGAAAGCACCAACTGGTCCATCTGAATCCAGTCTTCATAAGCTGGATTGATCGCGTTAGTGGGTTTTCCGTCGGAACCGAGAAGAAACGCAGGCGGACAAATGCTGGTGCCGTCGACGAAAGAGATCAGGCGGCGGCTCCTGAGCAGAGGAATGATCTGCGCCAGCCAAATGGGGTAATTGGTAGGATCCAATTTCACATTGAGGACAGACGGCAGAGCAAGAGCTGGGTCATCAGCAGAGGCGGCAGAGCTTGAAGAAGATCCAGTGGTGGCAGCCATGGCAGAAATGGAAGAAAGCTCTGCGAGAGCCCCAGAAAGAAGGAGACTAAAGTGAGAAAGCAAGGCACCAGAGTGAGTTGTAATTATAGGCCACCGATTGTAATTTGATAAAAATATCAAAAAGACTAATTTCGAGCTGAGCGTCTCAAACAAGTTCATATGAGTGAGTGACGTGGCATGGCTTGCGACATACCAGTTGGTCCCATCCAGTACTTTCCCTCCTTTTTTTTATTGTATTTGGTATTTGTTTATGTCCTATTGAAGGAATATAATGGACCTGCTCTTGGAAGTTCAGAGAGATTGGTAATTTTCTTCCCTTCGGGGAACATTCTAGACTTCAGATACGTGGATCAGATCAAAGGCTTTTTGAGAATAAGCGATATTGTATTCATGAATCAAGCCCCAGGCTAAAAGCCATACAAACCAGAACAAGAACCAAAACGGTTACAGATACCCATAAAGGGTTAATACAGATGTGGACAGTAGTCCAAAGGAGGAGGACACCGGAAGCAAAGGGCACTCCGGACATGGCCATAGCAGGCCAGAGAGAACAGTACTGGACAGTAGTCCAGAGAGGGAGGACACCGAAAAAATCGGGCACTCCAGTCATGGCCACAGAGGACCAGAGATAAAGCGGTAAAAACACCGCAGGCCAGGAAAACTCCGGCATCGAACAGTAACAGCCTAAAGCCAAACGCCAAGGCACCCATGACGTGGCATGGCTTGCGACATACCAGTGGGTCCCATCCAGTACTTTCCCTCCTTTGTTTATTGTATTTTGTATTTGTTTATTTCCTGTTGAATATAATGGACCTGCTCTTGGAAGTTCAGAGAGATTAGTAATTTTCTTTCCTTCTCATTTGATTTTTTAGGGGAACATTCTAGACTTCTGATACGTGGATTAGATCAAAGGCTTTACTCACCCAAGAAGTTTGAGTAAGCACTTTTGGGCTCTCGATCAAAGCTTTATCCATAAAGAAGTATTATTTGGGATGTTAAGAATCTATTTAAATTATAAAACAGGTTTAGATTTCAAATTGGCAATCATTTTTGTAGTTCTTACAAGTTTTTACCCTTGTCTTGTCTATATGGTAATTTGCATTTGTCGTTAATCCATTAATTAAGTTGAATTTTCTTTCTTTTTTCAGTGCCTACTTTCTTATTTGAAAATTTCTGCTTTGTTATATATATTTTTTTTTCTGCTTAAAATGAGTGTTCGGGTTTTTGAAGAACATTTTTTGGAGTTCTAAATTTACTTTCGGGTTTTTGATCGAAATAGTCCCCCAACTAGTGATTCACTATGATTTTGGTTTACCAGCTAAAATTTTCATTTAAATAGTCCTTTAACACTTTATTTGGTATCAAAACAATCCTACTGTCAAATATTTCGTTAAATTGAGGGGTAAAAAAAGTAAAATATTATTTTAAAAGTTAAACAATTAAAAACTGAAATGCCAAAACATCTACACCCCCTAAAAAAAATCTGACTTTCCCTTGATCGGCAAGCAAGCACAGTGGCTTCCATGGCTTCCACAAAAAATCGAACTCAAACCCATCATAGTCTTTTACCTATTCACTCCCACTCAAATCAAACCCATGATCGCCTCCTCGTCTCTCTACCACCATCTCTTGCTGCTATTGCGATTTTAAGTTCTGGGCTTTCAACCAACCCCTCTTCCATTTCGGCAGAACCCATTCCCAAATTCTCAGAGAA